AATAATAAGCAATCAATAAATAGTAAAAAATTATTGTGGCTGTTTTTTTTCTTTCTCTTGTAGATTGCATGCCTCTTCCCTTTTGTCTTTGGACCTCATCACTCCAGGACTTTCATCAAAACCCAGCATCTACCTTAGTGTTTTCCATCTTAGACTTAGAGGTTTCATCTTAATTCACCTTAGATATACTTCAGGGAAACAACAGTAAATATTGATGAAAGGTTTAGACATAGTGTTTTCCAAAAAAAAATATGATGAATATCAGACTAATTTTAAATTTTCTTCAAGCCACAATAAAATTAAAAATAAACAGATGAAATTAATTTTAATAATGTATATATTTGATTGAGAATATTCTAAGTATTATCATTTTAATAAGTGGCAGTGGTCACATTAAGTTCTCTACAAACACAATGCCTATTCCATCACATAGTAGTATAGAGTTTAGGGTCAAATGACCGTACATTCAAATTCTAGCTCTGTTATTTACTCGGACCTAATTTGCTCTGAATTTCATCGTATTAAAAAAATAAGTAGCTCTATAAWTTTTTTTAAAAGTAGCTCTAGTTATTATTATGAGAAATAAATTAAAATGACACATTCAAGTCATTTAGCACAATGTCTATATAGAGAGATGGTCATTAAATAATTCCCTCACCCTAATCTACTCTAGAACATTAAACCAGCTCAATGTAGCACAATCTGTGATTAAGCCCTTCTTCTTTCCCTTCTACCTCTAACTATAAACCGTAATCTTTTCCCTCATCTGTACAGTTCTGACTCCTTGCTTCTTGAAGCAATTACAGATTTAATTGGGTTTATTTTTAGAAACCATGGACCCTGTCAGTCATGATCTAAGAATATGGTCCCAAGAAAATAAAAATATCTGTGCCTGAAAAAGTGACCCTACAATCTTCTCCTCTGCCCTGAAATTAACCATTTGCCCAGCTAACCCTGTTGCCTACTCAGCCTGAGCTTCTGCCTCACTCTGCTGCTACTATGGCTGTGGCCTCCTTAGCAACTGCCACTAACATCAATGCTTCTGCATTTAAAGTCAGACTTGCCTCAAAATTTTAAAAGGTTGAACATCATTCTGTAACATAACTGGCCAGTACCTTTCAAAAGTACCAAGGTCATAAAAGACAAGACCAAGAACTGTCACAGACTCGAGGACTTGACTACAGACATGAAAGATAAAAATTAAATATAAGATCCTGAGTAGGACTTGCCCTGAAAAAGGACATTAATCAAAACAATGGCAAATGATTAAGGTCCGTAAATTAATTAAAAATATTATATTGTTGTAATATTGTCAATTTCGTGCTTTCAATAATTACACTATGCTTGTATGTAATAACATAAATGCGAACTCTGCCAATTTTACAACTTTTCTTTACTACTGTTTTAAAATTAAAAGTTAAAACACTTTTAAATGTGATTATTTGAAACTTTATTATGGAAAAGCCTCTGTTCCAGGGGACTTGTTAATGATATATTATTGTGAAATAGTGCTACTTATGTTAAGCCTGTTGCAGTAAGGCCATCACACAGGTTAATGAAAAGTCAATTCCAAGGTATAGAAAATCCACTTTAATCACTACTATTAGTTTGCAAATCAACTAAGTACCTATGATACCATGTATATATACTCAATTATACTGAGAATTTAATGACAGCAAATCATATTTTGTGTGACCTATAGTTTTATTAAATAAATATGCCTTTTTAATTAACTTTACTAAATAACATGCTTAAACAATAGCTCCACTGAGATCAACCTTTTACAGAAAAAGGGAGCTAGGAAAAGTTAACAAGATACAAAGAAGCATGTTCCAGTATGTACCTGCCTCCCTCCCCCATTCCTTTCTTTCTTTAGGAAGTTGCAATGGTCAACAAGCTCCAAACAATACCCCTTTACAATAGAAAGGACAGACAGTTCTGCTACACCATGTGTTTCTGTAACATGAACTAGCTCAGAGATTATTAGTAAAAGGAGAAAAGATCAATACAATGCAGAAGGTACATGTGTTTAAATGTAATTTTACCTCAGACCATGAATATTTTTCCTTATTAGTAACAACAACCAAAGGCCATGTATGAGAAAAAGAATCAGTGTTACACATTTAATCATCTTCTAAAAAGTGGTTATTGCAAAGTTATCCCTGATCTTTTCTTTAAAAAAAAAAACTGCACACACATTGAAAATAAACTTTAAAAAGTAATGTAAAACAATGACCATAGCATAAACCTCCAATACCAGCATATTTTGCACAAAGTTTACAATCTTTCCTCTACTGGCAACTTCTAATGACAATATCCTTCCTTGCTTTTGTATTCACAGACAGCCTTAACCCTTCCTTATATCACCTATAATTAAGCAATAATATTGCTTAGTGATTATTTGCTGTTAAGTAACAAAATGTTAATACTTTTTTCTAAGTACTTAAAACCAAAAAAAAACGTGAAGGCAACAAATTTTTAATTTCTTATTTCATTAAAAATGCATACACCCTTGAAACCTAGAATTTTAAATCAGGATTATTTTGTTTTTTATTGTGTTTCAGTTACAAAGTTTCATAAGCCTTACTAATTTAACTATGAATTTGCAAACTGAAATTTTTCTAAAAATTAATATGTTATAAATTATGATAGAAATGATGTATCTTCACACATTCTAAATATATAAAATGCCATTCCTGGTGGGGGGGTTCTGGTGGTTTTTTTAAACATAAAAATATACTAACTTGTTACCAAAGATTACTAATGTATCAATTAAATGTGCTATTGACATCAGTTTCTCAACAAAAAGATTAAGTGCATTTTACATAGTCTCTAAATTCAACATCCAATTATTTCAGTATTCATCACATATTTCTTAGATATAATGTTCTAATGTAATAATGAAAATTACCATCTATGCTAAGATCAAACTGATGCTCTTTGTAAAGAAAGCAAATATTCAATGTTGTTCAACATGGATTAAATCTATACATGAACCTTTATCAAATCACCATCAATCTTCTAAAGCAGTCTATAAATTGTATGAAAACAAGGAGATGTGTCAAGAAAACATTTTTGCTCTAAAACCAAAAAATAAAACATTAAATACAGTGTGGCTTTTATGGCTTTTACACTATTACTTCAAGTTAAATAAGAATTTAATATCAAACTTTTCCTTTATTTCTCAAAGAAAGCAACAATATTGCTTAATGATTATTTATCATTAAAATATAAATTCAACAATAAATATTCTTTTGTGTATATGACTCCAGGTGGCAACAAGTATTATGAATGTGTATTTTATTTGTACCTACCAAAGAAACGGCACATAGTTGACTCATTAAAAATATAATTCACCTGGAATAGCCACAATGTATTATAATAACTGCAATTTGAATATAAATGTTTTTTAAATAATTTATATAATAAATAGCCATCATTTCAATATTTACCTAAAAGAACAGTGTTCTCTTTTCAATATAATCCATGATATGCTAGGATATGTTTATGAACCAATGCAACCCTGAATTTTAAGAAGCCTTTCTTACTTTTCAATTACCTATTAAAATTCACTTGCTTAGAGATAGCATGTTTCTTACTGGGGGAAAAAAAAAACTGCACAATTTTCTGCTTGCAGTGTGACCTCTTTCACTTGGGTAGGTATCTGCTCTATCACAGACTAAGTGAGGATGTAACCTTGTCAAACCAAAGGCAAAAGAATAATGAGCATACGACAGGCTTAACCAGCACCGAAAAGGTTTTGAAGGAGGTTGCAAAAATACTACTCTGAATGACAAAATTAAAGTACACTCCAAAGAACAGGTTAATATTAAAGAAGGTACTCAAAACCTAAGAAGCATTTAATCCCCATCCTTGGATGTCTGCCCTACAAAAATCTACTCAGATTTGTTTATTTCATTAGCTACTAACTAGATTTGGTTAATATATTTTCAAATGAATCTTAGTAGAACGATCAATCTTGAAGGAGACAAACTTATGGACTATTYCCACAAAGCATTAGCCAAGGGTAAGTATGAAGAAACAGATACTGGTTTGCTTTCACTAATTATAAATTATTATCCAATGAGAAGAAAATCATTACAATTCAAAAATAAGAAATACAAATTGGAAGTCTCCACTCAATACCAGTCTTTACTACCACTAAAACAAACAACAGTACAACTGCTACAGTAGATGCTAACCTAGTCCACTAACTTGCATAACAGAGAATTAAATTTAAACATTTTTATAAATAGCTGAAACCAAAAGAAATTAGACAAGTTCTGCAGTAGTCTTCTCAGTGTGTCTTACTTTTAAAATAAACAAATAAAAATCTCAAATCTAAACCATTCAAGCATGCACTAGGACTATGTATTATATCATTGTGTCAATTATGCACACTTTGACATTCCTTTTCTACAACTAAGACAGGAATGAAATTTTTGTTCCAGACCAGTCACAATATTTTAACAGAGAAACAGTGCCACCTTTTGGTTCTAAACAAAAGCCTCTAGTAGAGTCTCCCCAAGTTCCTTTTTCAATTAAACTGTTGATACATATAACTGTCATTAAATTTCACATTATAATTATCAGCTAAATTTTAGCTTCAAAAATCTAAGAAACAGTAAGGTAACATAAAAGTTGCTTACCAAGATGCAAACCTTCAAAATATTCCAAAGTAATACCAAATGCACATACTTTGGATCATCAAAATAATAATTTCTATCACTATTTCATTAAACACATTTTACCAAATCCAACAATGCCAATCAATTGATGAATATCTTAATAGAAAAGGTTTTTGTAGTGTAATAACCTTAATAAAATAATCTTAATAGAAAAGGTTTTTGTAGTATCATTATATTTCAAAATTAATTTTTAATATAGTATTTACATTTTACTCATTACTTTAATAACTGGCCACATGGTATTACCAGTGGATTCACAGTTTAACCAGCATAAGAATAAATACAAAGACAGTATGTTTCTGAATTACTTACACCAATGATACAATGTCACCACGTTGTACTTCAAAATTCCTTACTTTCCAGTGGTTCAAAAGTACCACATCTGATGACTGGCTTCCCCCAGGATTCAAAGAAGGCTAAAAAAATTAAGAAAACAGATACATCTATCATTTGTATTTTTTATATTTATTTTTTAATTGTAGTTGGTCACAATAACTTTATTTACTTTTTTATGTGGTGCTGAGGATCAAACCCAGGGCCTTGCACGTGCTAGGTGAGTGCTSTACCGGTGGGCCACAACCCCAGCCCCTCATTTGTATTTTTTAATCTTCACAGTCCTTGAACTTTATAGCTTGATTGGAATGCAGTAAAACATTTTTAGAGTAGTACCTTTCAATAAATTGCTATTTTAAAGTATCTGCAAATGATGAGTTTTCAAAAGGCTCATTGGGATTCTCAATAAATGAACCAGAAAAAATAATAATAAATTACCAATGCTTTTTGAAAGAAAAAAAATGTGCTAAATATCCAAATCTTTACTAAACTCAAGTAGAGAAATATGGAAAGTTTTATAAAGAATTTTAAAAGTTGAATTTCATAACCCACTTGAATCAAATTGTGAAATATGATGTATTAAGAACTATGTAATGTTTTGAACAACCAACAATAAAAAAAAAAGAAAACAAATAGCTATGTTATGAAAAGCAAAAAAAAAAAAAAAAAAAAAAGAAATTTAAAAGTTGAGAAAGAAGCAACCCAATCCTCCCAATATTCAGATAGGACCCAATTACACAATAGCACACACACATCATTGTTCCATCTGGTGAAAAGAGGAAATAATCTCAAATCAACCAGTAGAAGACCCTTATAAAACTAGAGGGAGCAAAAGAACCAGGCAATTAGATAATCATTTAAAATGTAGGGATTTCCAGGCTGGAGTAGTGGCTCATTGGTAGTGCGCTTGCCTAGAACATGTGAGGCACTGGGTTTGATTCTCAGCACCACATATAAATAAATAAAAAATAAAAGTCCACTGACAACTAAGAAAAAAAAATATTCTAAAAAAATGTAGGGATTTCCCATCTCAACCTCTCTTTTCCCAAGGGATCATATTCCAAGGGATCTGGTCCCAGTTTGAGCCTATAATGGCTTTCATTCTAGGACTAGGACAAGTAAGTGTACCTATGCCTAAGACTAGATGGAGGAAAATGTTGAAAAACACTGTGTAAGAATTCATCTGAAGGAACTACCTACTAGGCACAAAAATATGAATGAGGAATCATAAAGCCACCTGCCTTTTGGACAGGGGGTACTGACAAAGTCAATGGATAACAAGTCTAAGACTTGAGGTGAGAATGGTGGGACAAAACAAGAACTAAGAAATTTTCCGTGGTTGACTGAGAACATCAACATGAGAAGGAACAATTTCTGTGGTTATGGGAAGGGTGCCAAACACCTGCATCTCTCTGCCTTCACTGAGACAAAACCACAGCAACCAGGGCAAGTAAGGAAAGCACTGAACACCAAGCAAAAGCCAGTCCCTGGAGTAGCAGTAACATTCTCTTTCTTAAAGATTCTTAGAATCATTGGTAGATTTTCTACAAAGTAGACATGGGCAAAGATGAGAAAATTTGGTATGAAGGCTATCATCATGACCTTAATTTTGATGCCCCAGGTTTGTGTAGCCAAAAATTGTTGGTTACCCTTGGAGATCTGAAATATTCCCAGAGTTCTCACCAACTTCTTGGTATAATAATTTCTAAATCTCTACCTTCATATTGAATTTCTCTAGCATCCCACTTGATTTTTCATCAGTTCCTTTAAAATAAAAAGTTTCTTATTTTCCTACATCCTATGTACCACTTTCCCAGTCCAGCTTAAAATCTTAATCATCTGTCTCCTTCCAATTAGTCACCAAGCTAAAGAGTTTTGTTTCTCATCATAATGTCTTTCAGCTGATTTTTTTTCCACCATCATCATACCTTAAGCACCTCCATCACATAACTAGATAGATATAACACTAGTAGATACAATACTAATCAACCTCTTCTAACTCTGATGGAAAGGATTCCGTTTTCTTTCTAGCTGTGTGAGCTTGAGCAAGTTATTTAACCTCAGCATGCCTTTCTTTTTTTTTTTTTTTTATTTAATCAGTTGAGCACTCTTTTTTTATTGGTTGTTCAAAACATGTACTGGGAAAATGGTGATAATTAGTAACTATTACACAATTAATAATTAAAAAATAGTCACTACCTACAGAGTACTTACTATAAGCACTATTCTAGTAATAATGAATAGACATTCTAGGTGGTTGATTTGTGCAAGACAGTGAGGATTTAAAAACACTAACTTATTTGGTGAGATCATTCAATTTAAGTGTTACAGCAGCTCTTGGTCCATAATTTACCTCTCAGTAACTTCTATTACTGATATTACTGCATCCCAATTTTAATTATGGGCAGTTTCGTATCCTTTTTCCAGTTCCCTCTTTGCTACATTCCCAAGTAAGGAACAGAGCTGAGGCATGGAACAAGCCTGAAGAACTTTACTGGGCCATGGAGCTAGGGAATGGAATGTATTGAAATAGCATGATTAGATTAAAAGTTGAGATTTCAAAGAGTTCATTAGCTCTCATTCAAATTCAAATCTATTTCAAATTCTTTATCTCCCTCATCCTCTTTGTCTCTGAATTCTATGTCTTGTGAATTCCCTTTCCTTATTTCTTTCCTCCTATAAAACTGGTGTAAGTGAAGGTGGCCTAGGGGGAGACATCTGGGCTCTGGACAACAGAGGGAAAATTTTCTTCCCACTGCTCTTTCACCATTTTTTTTTCCTTGCCATCAGAATGATGAAAAACAAAGATGATTTAATTATTTCTGATTACTTTCTCATACTCTCTTTTATTGGTGTTTCTAAAAGTTTGTGAATCTTTTAGAACCATAAATAAGAAATGAATTTTATACTACATCCAGTACATGCACAAACACACATTTAAATAAAATTTTGCAAAAGAATAATTACTTTGCTACATATACCTTGATTTTTTTTCTTAATCTGTGCTTTTAAAATTCTTTCTATATCCAACTATATTGATTTCAAACTAACTATATGGATCTTGAACATACAAATAACTTTGCAACCCAGTGTTAAAACCATGCTCTAAGGGCTCAGGGTGTGGCTCGGTGATAGAGTGTTTGCCTAGCATGAGTGAAGCCCTGGATTTAATCCCCAGCACCCCTACCACCCCATCACCAAAAMTACACATACACACACATACACACTTATATAGTATGTGTAATGCTTTAGGTGATTCTTCCTTAACCATTGTCCTTAAAAAATTATTTAATTAATTATCATTTCCAAGAATGATACCTTTAGTTCTTTTATCTGTCTCTAAATTCTTTCTCTAGAAAATTTCATCAATATTTTCAGTTTCAAATACTACCCATAGGCTGATGGCTATTAAATGCATAATCCCAAGTGATTTTTCTCCTTCTGTAAACTAAATTTATAGCAAGCACTTCATATTACAATACTGAGCATATTGTAACTTTTTTTTACTTATTATTGGTCTTTACAACTAAGCAGGAAGCACATTTTATCCATCTTACAGGAATACTTTCCTAATACTCATCTTCTCCCTTTTCCCATCCTCAGTCACAGGTGATCAAAAATACCAAGTTCCCCACCATATGTGATTATTTCTATCATACTATATTTATTTATTTTTTTTTTAAAGAGAGAGAGAGGAGAGAGAGAGAGAGAGAGAGAGAGAGAGAGAGAGAGAGAGAATTTTTTTAATATTTATTTTTTAGTTCTCGGCGGACACAACATCTTTGTTGGTATGTGGTGCTGAGGATCGAACCCGGGCCGCACGCATGCCAGGCGAGCGCGCTACCGCTGAGCCACATCCCCAGCCTATCATACTATATTTAAATGTACATTATAATTACTCCCTCATCTCTTTTTCCAAGAGCCTTTATAAACATCTAGGAAACAGATTTTTTTCCCTAGGTTTCTGTTCTTGAATTCCAGGCACTTTGAAGGAAATTAACATATTTAAGTAGAAAGAATAAAAAATAGTGAAATTCCCAAGCACTTCACAAATTAACATGCCCCAAACAGAGATGCTATTCCATTCACCTTAGCCGCTCAAATACATTGCTTTATTACCCTCTATGGTTAACAGTAGCACCATTCACCTGCCCCCCATTCTAGAAGACTCTAGCTTCAATTTCTACTCTCCGGGACTCCCATCCTCAGACTTTCCTTCTGCCAAATTTGAATGCCCTTTCCCCACTTTGAAAATTCTACTCATCTTTCAGAGTCCAATTCAGTTCACTCTTTTATAAAGGCTTTTAAAAAGAAAAAGAATATTATGTTAATAAACAAAAGAAGCCTACAGTCAGTTCTCTTGTAAGACTTTTAAAATTATATTTTGCTGCTCTCTATGGAGCAATTGAACCCGCCTTTCCCTTATAGAATCATTTTTCCCAACTTTTCTTAAACTAATTGTAAGACACAAAAGGTAAGACACTGTAAACAAAAAAATCAAAACACTTATACAGAGGGGAAAAAATCCCAGAAGGAAGCATCTCTAATCTCAAACAGTAAAATATTAGAAAATCATCATTAGCATATGGAAGAACTATGTAATTTTACAAGAGAAGCAATAGAGTTTTCTTTTACCTTTCCTCTCCTCTGCAAGGTGGAATTAATTATTCCTCCATCTATAAACCCATAGCAACTTAGGTAAACTTCAGTGATTGTACTTAATAGGTATCTGCCTAGAGATATGACTCTCAAGTGTAAGTTTCCCATATTTTATTCATTTTTGTATACTTTATCCCAAAGGAAAATATACCTATACTTGTAATTCCAAAACATAAAAGCTCTTAAAAGAACATTATAAACTACAATGGTTCCTAAACATGTACATTATCTAAACAATATACACATCTCTATCACTGAAAACATATTTGGATAACTGGTAAAAAAAAAATTCTCTCTTCAAGTTAGGCAATGTAAGCACTAGTAATAAAGTATAACACTGCTTTAATATTATTACCCATAATGAAATAGTGGTAATCACAACAATAAAATAACTACTATTCATTTATGAATCTGAGTAAGACAT